ATTCAGGACATCAAGGGTAATATGACGACAGCTCTGATGGCCATTCCAGAAAAAGAGTTCCAAAATTGCTTTGAAGGGTGGACTAGGCGCTGGCGTCAGTGCATAGCTTCCCAAGGGGAGTACTTCGAAGGTGACCCTAGTGATATTCAGCAATGAGGTGTGTAGCACTGTTTCTAGGATGAGTTCGCGAACTTAATTGTCAGACCTCGTATGTATGTGTGTGTGTATCTATCTATATATATATAGTAAGTGAAATACCTGCATTCTCTCTTTATTCTTAGTCAGAATCGAGGGGGTTGTTTTTGGTGGGTCCAGGGAGGAGGTGCCTTTGTCTCTTCCATTTAACTGTGACCAAAATAAATAAAAATATCCTCACCAAAATATCCACTTGGACAAGTGTGATTATGCACAATATACATTATTTGGGTGTTTTTTTATTCGTTCATGTTGATTCATTATGAGTGTCTAACAAAAAAAGAGAGGCAGGACACAAATAATAATTCAAAGAAAAGAAGGAAACTAATATTTACTATATGCCTACCGTATACCAAGCACTTTATACACAGTTTCACATCTAATTTTCTCAACAATCTTATGATGTAGATATTATTACCACAATATTTTAGGTGCACAAAACTGAGTGCCAGGGTGGTGAAGTAACTCACGGAAATTTACAGTGGGGCTGGAATTTGAACTCTACACAGGCTTCAAAGCTTGTGCCCTGGCCACGATTACATTAGATGCCAAATGGCCCTCCATACTGAACAGAGATGGCTGTGCTCTGTGGGGGTTCTTCAGTGTAACCAGTGGGACCTCATCACGTCATTGTTAAGCACAGGTGGCATTCCAAGTGAGGCAGGCCCATTTCACACCCTAACCACTAAGAATTAGCTACTGTTGTACCAAAACCTATTTTTACACATAAAAGAATCAAGAAGGAGTTTATAGTCATAAAACTCCAAAGTACTAAACGCTGGTTAGGTGCCTCTCCTCTGTGTTCCCACTGCATCCCGCTCTGTTACGTACTTCTGTTTACTTGTTAAAATCCCCAGTGGACTCTAAGGACCCTGAGGAAGGGACTGTTTTGTTCAGTGTGGCATTCCCAGCCTCCAGGAGGGGGCCTGGCATGTAGCGGTTACACAGCACAATTTGTTGACTAGATGAATGAATGGATGGTTAGTCAGCCTGGTCTTATGTCCTGGGTATAAAATCCCAAATCACCAATACTTGATGTCAGACTTCACTGGTGTCTAATCCAAGCTGAGTCAGTGTCCCCACCAATTTGAACGTCCCCCTGCTCGGAGTGGCACTGCCAGGTAAGGGTGACATAGAGGGCTATTGCGTTCTTCACCCTGTGAGAGAGACATGCTAATTGGGAGAATCAGAGAATCTGTGTGACAGAGTCAAAGATGGAACAGAATATGTAGGCCAGAAATCAACTCATGCATACACGGTCAATTAATTTTCAACAAAGGAGCCAAGAATATACAAAGAGGAAAAGATAGTTTCTTCAATAAATGGTGTTGGGAAAACTAGATATCCACACGTGAAAGAATGAAAATGTACCCCTATATAATACCATACAACAAAAGTCAACTCAAACTGGATTAAAAACTTAAGACCTGAAACTGTAACTCTCAGAAAAAAAACACAGGAGGTAAGCTCCTTGATAATGATTTTTTTGACTCTGACACCAAAAGTCAAGACAAAATAAAAAATAAACATGTGAGACTATATCAAACTAAAAAGCTTCCACACAATGGAAATCATCAACAAAATGAAAAGACAACCAATAGAATAGGAGAAAATATTTGAAAACAATATGTTATTTAGCCTTTAAACAGAAGGAAATCCTGCCATTTGTGGATGGGTGAACAACATGGATGAACCTGGAGGACATTATGCAAAGTGACATAGCCAGACAGAGAAAGGCAAATACTGCATGGTATCACTTATACGTGGAACCTAAAAAACTCAAAACTCATAGAAACAGAGAGTAGAAGGGTGGTTGCAGGGGCTGGGGGGTGGGGGACACAGGGGGAGGCTGGTAAGGGTACAAACTTTCAGATATAAGATGAATAAGGTCTGAGGATCTGAAAAAAAAAGAAAAGTCAAACTCATAGAAACAGGCAACAGAACAGTGGTTGCCAGGGGCTGGGGGGAGGGGACACAGGGGGAGGCTGGTAAGGGTACAAACTTTCAGATATAAGATGAATAAGGTCTGAGGATCTAATGTATACCATGGCGATATAGCTAATAATACTGTATTGCATAACTGAAATTTGCTAAGAGTAGAATTTAACTGTTCTCACCAAAAGGAGAAAAAGGTAAATATGTGAGGTGATAAATGTGTTAATTAATTCAGTGGTGGGAATCCTTTCACAATGTATTCATATATCAAATCATCATGTTGTACACTTTAAATATATTACAAAAAGTTTTAATAAATTTTCCATAGGTGAGCTAAATAAAAAGTCAAGTAAAAATTACTACCTCATTCATTCTTGGTTTTTCATTTTTCATTGTTGAAGAACTGGTATTCCCTGAATTTTTGAAAAAGGTAGGCGGCTTTTGCAGAACAGAAGCAAACCCTGCGCTTTCCTAGAATTGAGTGCAAAGAGAGTAATTTTCAATTGATCCACTGCAATTAACCAACTCATAATTGACCCAATTCACCCAACAGCAAAAACTCCCACCTCTGAAAGCATTTTCCCCTTTAGAAAGCCAGGGCGTATGGTGTGCGTGCGGTGGCTAGGAGAAAGGTTAGGAAGGAGGCATCCAGGGGTCCTTAGCCTGGACCAGGCCTGATCCCTCGGTACCCAGCAACCCTGGGCCAGCTCCAGCCACCACTTCTCCAGCCAGTTACTCCTCTTCCGCCTGGAAATCCAGATGTGCTCAAAACCCAGACCTGCTCTGCCAGAGTAGTAGAGGATCCATGGACCCAAGGCTGAAAGCTGCTCGGAGAAGCCCAGAGGACCAGTGGAAGAGCTCTGAACTCCAACTAGAAAGCTTCGCCCTGCCCCATTCCGCTTTCCCTTGGTGGTTTAGAGTCAACTTTAACCCCGTGTGCTGCTCCCTCCGTGGAAACTCTTTAACTAGACTGTGGCCTAAGCAGCTGCCTTTCTTACCGGGGCATCTTCTGCTGACTTGAACTCCCGTATTAAATGATTTTTCTGATACTGTTCGTTTCGCTGTTTCCTAGTCTGAAGTGGCTTCTTTTTTTTCTTCCTATTCATCTTCTTCTGAGTCAACTATTCCAGAAAGTATAGAGAAATCAGTCATTGAGGATTCCAGAGAAATGCCCACCTACAAGTGACACTTCTCTCTTCACACAACACGCAAGACACAATGGCTAACCCAGCGTGCAGCCCTCACAGTGTTAAATTGTTGTTGATTTGAAGAGCAAACAGTTCCATTACCTCCTTACCAGAGGCTGCTCCCCATTTAACACCCCGAAATCCCACTATTACAGACATATTGCTAAAGGGGCACCTATACCAATGACCAAATATCTGCGATTGATAATATGAAACCAAAGTGCTTATGGCAACAATGTCAGGTACAGATAATAATGATTATTAGATGCCTGGTTAAGAGACTCAGTTTGGGGCCAGCCGAGTGGCGCGTTGGTTAAGAGCTGGCTTGGGACGCCAGCTCTGAGAAGCAGGGCCCCGGTTTGGGTCCCACATGGGGGCCAGTGACACTGCCCTCTACAGCTAAGATGATGAACAACAGCTCGACCTGGAGCTGGGCTGCTGTGAGTCGCTGGCGACAGCGTAGGCTGCAGCCCCTGCTGCAGTGGGCTGCCATAAGCTACCGTGTGTGGCTGGCAGCCAGTGTGAGCTGCCAAGAGCCTCCGTGAGCGGCCGTCCAGAGACCAGTGACCGATCTGCCTCGCCCGGGAAGAGCACAATGATCACAATACCAACATGGGCCAGTGAAGCAACAATGTCCTCCACAACTAGACTGAAGACCAAAACGACAGCAACTTGTCTGTTCCCCTTCCCCCGATTCCCCATGCTGTTCCCTTCCCCTGATTCCCCAATAAAATCTTTTAAAAAAAAAAAGGAGACTCAGTTTGGTTGTTACTATAAGGCGGCTTTAGTAATTAAGCTAATGAAGCTCAGGACTAATTCTCTAGGTACCATGGTGTGGTGAAGCTTGATCTGATACTGCTGTAAGTCTAGTTGCAGAAAGTGTAGGGTCTAGTTTAATTTGGCAGGCTCCTCCTGACGCAGCCTTATTTTCATCCTATGATGGAGATATTTCTTCATGCAACTAGGAAATCATGTGCATAATGAACCACAACAAATATTTTGTTGTCTCTAAAGTTCTTACATCATCTATGTAAGAAAAAGTCTGTGGATAGATAGGGGCAAAAATTACTTAATATATGGAAGTGTAAAATAACAAGACTACATGAATAAAGAAACACTTTTAAAAAATATGTCATTTTGGGCCGGCCGAGTGGCTCAGTTGGTTAAGAGCTCGCTCCAGAGTGTGAGCTCTGAGCAGAAGTGGTTCGATTCCCCGCCTGAGCTGAGCTGCTGCTGAGCTGCCAACAGGTGGCAGGATGGCTCAGCTAAAGAAAAAAAAAAAGTCATTTTTAACAACCTCTATCTCTCAGCATGGTTTTCACTTTTTAAACTTTTTTTTTTCACTTTTAGTTAACTTTGGAATAATATGGAATCCTTACATATTTTTCCTAGATTTTTTTTTGAGAATTTTTATAAGAGTTTATTTGAGCCAAACTGACAACATATGCCAAGGAGCAAGATTTCAAATGCTCCTCCCTAAATTTTTAATATGAAAGTTATAAACAACAAAATGAAAGACTCCAGGGCAGCATAACCAGTTAGGACACTATGGCTATATTTTCTTCAGATCTTAGGATAGTTGGAAAATTCCACCAAATTCTCCAGTACTGTTATGTTTTAAGGCTGCTACTTCCTGGGCGTAAGAGTCTATATAGTCTCACCTGATGTGCTATGCTCAGGAGTTGAACAGGAAGACCGTCTGAGAGGGAACTGTCAGAACCACTGGTGCTGTTTTAAAAAGTAGAGAAGAAAGGGAAATACCTGTTATTAATGTCTAGAAGTAGAACATTTACCAGACCAGCCACATGGGATTAGGATATCTAGTGTGCTATTTGCACCCACTGTTTCAATTACTAAGAATTCTTGACATGCACGTCCATTCATTCATTCATTCATTCATTCTGAGTGCCTGCTGCATTCCAGGCAGTGCATCGGGCAAAGAAAATAGAGATGGCCAGGGCAGAGCCCCGGCCCCAAGAAGTCTGCAATCCGTGTGGCAAAATAAATACCAACCAGCTGGGCAGAGCTGGCCTTGGCAGCAGCTGTGAGAGGCTGCAGGATTCTTAGTGTGCAGCCCTAGAGAATACCAGCGACTGTAAGTTGTTTGAAAGCAGGAACTTTGTCTCATTCATTCCTGTCTGGCCAGTACCAATTCAGAGAACAAGGATCCTACCAAGTACTCTTTAAAAACGTTGTCAACATATAAATAAATACGAGGTCGGACAATTAAGTTTGCGAACTATTCCTAGAAAAAGTGCTACATACCTCACGGCTGAATATCACTAGGGTCACCTTTAAAGTACTCCCCTTGGGAAGCTATGCACTGATGCCAGCTCCTAGTCCACGCTTCAAAGCAATTTTGGAATTCTTTTTCTGGAATGGCCATCAGAGCTGTCATTGTATTACTCTTGATGTCCTGAATGTCATCAAAATGTCCTTCTTTCAATATTTCCTTTATCTTCGGGTAAAGAAATAAGTCATTGGGGGCCAGATCAGGTGAGTAGGGAGGGTGTTCCAATACAGTTATTTGTTTACTGGCTAAAAACTTTCTCACAGACAGTGCTGTGTGAGCTGGTGCATTGATGCAAGGGCCATGAATTGTTGGCGAAAAGTTCAGGTCGTTTAACTTTTTCACGCAGCCTTTTCAGCACTTCCAAATAGTAAACTTAGTTAACTGTCCAGCTGGTAAAAATTCATAATGAATAATCCCTGTGATATCAAAACAGGTTAGCAACATCGTTGCAACAAGTTTGCAAACTTAATTGTCAGACCTCATATATTTAATAACACAGAATATGTAGGTCAGAGGCTAGGAATATTACTTTTATCATTACATAATGAACCACAACAAATATTCTGTTGTCTCTAAAGCTCTTACATTATCTATGTAAGAAAATGTCTATGAACAGATGGGGCAAAAAACTAGCTAATTTATGGAAGTATAAACAACTACCTATTCCCTCGTCAGAAGTTTTGGGTGCACATCTAGACTGATCTAAAGGCTTCTCCCGCAAACTGTCCCCGCCCCCTTTTCCAAGGGCTAGGATGAATGAGGACTCAGATAATTGACCCTTTCTTCCTTTATCATGTGTCACATTCTATTATATTTTCCCCTTTCCTGGGGTGAGAGCTGTGTTCTATGATGCAGCCTCCACATATAAAAAATGCACCCCCCCCTCCCTTCAGTGCACAGTGAGGAGCCTCACAGCAAGACAGTGAGAAGAAAGCCTTCTCTTCTCTGATCTTAATTCCCAACTCCCTGTTCTCACAAGGATTTTCCAGTCTAAGGAGCAGCCTTTGCGGCCACTGGATAATAGTCTCTGAAGTCCCTTTCAGAGATAACAGAAAACGTTAACCAATGAGATGAAAGCATTAGATTCAGCGCACCCCGGAAATGTTGCGCACACACAGAGCAAGTGCAGACTGGGCTTGTACACTCAGCCTGCTTTTCTGCATAATGGTGAGGAAAGGTGGCACCCTGCGGACGCCTGTGACAGCCGGCGTCCTGATGCAAGGCTGGCAAACTTGTTTCAATAATTCCTAACTAAATGTGTCGGGGTATTCCCGCTGAGCCAGGTGGAATGCGTCCGCCTGTTTCTTTTTTTTTTTTTTTTTTTTTTTTTTTTTTGGGGAATTGGGGGGATGGGAACAGTGCTGGGGAATTGGGGGAAGGGGAACAGACAAGCTGCTGTCGTTCTGTTCTTCAATCTAGTTGTGGAGGACGCTGC